GATGATCGAAGTTGCCTTTAATTGAAAATATACAAATTAAAATAATTTTAATTATCTGAAATCTGTAATATTTGGTAATTTTTAAGAAAATTTTAGGTTCTGAGTGTTTATATTTTTTATGTTTAACGGATTCAGTGTCTGAAAGGGTTATATAAAATTAAAAGTTTACAAAGCGATTTTCAATTGAAATTGCCAAAGCTTTTATATGTATTAATCATAAACGAATAAAAGCCACGAATAACTCGACTAAAAACCACAATACTTAAATAAATATTTACCTGCATATGTATTACTATTTAAAATTATTGTAAATATTTCGCTTTTTTTCAAGTGAATAAGCAGTTAATGTAGCCACAATGCATTACACACAAATAGTTCTCCAAGCACTCATATGAAATGCCCGACATAGGCGATTAATACGCAAATATTCATATCGAGCAATGCCCCATTGAGAGAGTCAACAGCCCAAGAACCCGACAAAACAAAAAACAAACAAAAAGAGAAAAGAAGCAGAAAGAATAAAAAAGAACTCGTCATTTCTTTTGATCATAATTTGCGAACAATCAGCTTTATTTACATACAATTGCCGTCTTTTGTTTTTCACTCTCCATGGCCAGCGGCACATGTGGCGTTACCTTTCCGACTATATCAACAAATATACAAATATACTCATGCATATATATATATTTGTATTAATATTTTCTGATATGCCACTTCCTGTTCAATATTAAGCGATAACAACGTGTGAAATGTCAGATTATGCAGTTGACCACATATTTATTTGGTCTTTATATTTTATTTATTTATTTTTGGCGATAAGCTTGATTGACGATTTATGCGATATTATCAAACCTTGACCACCTTTCTGGCAGACCTTCGGCCGCCTTTGCAGCGTCATCTGTGACTATTAGCTAATAGCTAACACTCGCGATTACGTCTCCGCGCTGCAGTTTATTTATATATATATACGAGTACTAAATATATATGTGGGTCTCCCCCAGCTGTCGAGCATCGTGCGAATTCTATATAGAATCACGCTCACAACTGTTGGCAGCATTTCGTAATACTGCGATAAAGACGCCTTGTCTATCTTCTATCACTCTGCTGCAGAGGGTGAGCGGCTGAGATTGAGTTGAGATTAAGGGTGGAGGCGATGCGCTGCCTTTGGCTCGTCTTTTGTTTAGTGTGTCAGTCTAAAAATACCAGACGTACGTCTATTGTTCTCTATCTCCCCCTCACTGCTTGTTGTTGCTTTTGCATTTTAATTGTGCATTTCAGCTGGCGAGCAATCGCAATCTTGTGTAGATGCTCACTCTCTGCTCGTATCTATGCCAAATTGTTGCATAGCATATACCAAAGGAAAAACTAAAAATGTTAAAAATTTCGAGTGATCTAAGTAAATGTTACACATATTTTAAAGTTGGGTGAAGTCAAACAAAATGTGGAATTAGCTCACTCATTTGAGTAGAATATAGATCACTGTAGGCTATTCACTGTTGATAATAAAATTTAAATTAGGAACTAAGTACAAGCAGCTATATCTTCTTTTACATATCAACAGATTTTAAGATTTATTTATGCCTCCAGAAAAATTCCTATACACATATATCTGCCTCATTCACTTTCAAATTGCCATCTTCTATTTATTTATTTTTTTTTTATATTTTTTTTTTCAGCTACTCTTTCTGTGCATTGGATCTAAATGTGAGGCTAGTCACAATCATCATTGAAGCATGTGCTTACATGTAATATGTTTAGCTTAATTGTTGCTACGTGCATTTTGTTTGCTATCTCGGTGGGTAATTGTTGCTTATTTGCTTGACTGGCTGCGCAGCTCGGGCAGGCTCAGCTCTTTGGCTGCCTCTGCCTCAGTCTGTGCACATTGTATAATGTCAATTACTTGTGATTTACGACAGCTTAATGATAGACGCAGGCCGTCTCGGATTCGGACTCCGTCGTTGACTTGAGCTGCTAACAATTTACATGATGTGCGTTTAGCATGTGATGGATGCGCGATATTTGGCTCAATGTTCTTGGCGGCTCAGCGTTGCATGTAATTGGACTATAAAATGTTGCAACGACGTTGCCTGTGGCTGGCTGGTCGCAGTCGCTGCCAAAAGGGCCATAGCATTCAAATTGTGGGCTCCATAAAATGTCAACAACTTGCCACATGCCCCCAGCCCCAAATATCGCCGCACATTCCACACTTTAAAGTTTGTGGTGTGACGCAATGCATTACAAAAAGTTCATTTCCAGTTTATATGTTCCTCTTTTAACATAACGGCTTTAGCATTTGATTATGCATAGTACGAACTGGGCACAGGTGTTGTCGGCTATTCCAAACTCACTAAATAACAATTAACCATATTTGGTTGGAAAAAATGTCTTATTTTGCGCTCTTGCTAAGCCTCGATTTTGGCAAACGACTTTTTGGGGGAATGCCAATTGTTGCTTTGAGTCAGCAAAATTCGAAGGTGACAATGGGTCGATAAGTAAGTTTTATAAGTATATCGATTTGAAGCGAGGAGCTAAGCGAAGTAGTAAGACAATTTTTGTACTTGGAAAATATTTAGATAATATTTTACAATTAAAATACATATTTTTATAGTTGAAAATATATTCATAGTTTAACATTATTAAATTATTTATATTAAAATGTGTGTTTTTCGATTAAAAATCGATAAGAGCTCAATGTAATTTGCTGTTATAAATATAGATATATGTGTTTTCTTTAATGGTGAAAAAGTAATAAAACTGAAATCTATCCGGTAGATAAAATTTCATATAGTAATCGATAAACATATAAATATTATTAGGCATGTATTTATATTCTTGAGAGCTATCAATATATGAATTAAATATAATTGTTTAATTGCTAATAATAATCGATGAAAAATCTATATTTTATTTTATTTTTTTTATCGATTATTATATTTTTTTGATGTATTATTATACTAACTTAATATCTATAATAATAGAATCATAT